AGTGAGTCTGTAGGGAGAGTTTGTGTGTTGGTCGCCTCTGTAAACATGTGTACTAATTGGGGTGCTAGTATGCATGTAAAAGTCTTGTAATAACTATTGTCTAGCCCATCCGGGCCTGGGGCCTTGCCGTTTGGTAGGTTTCTTATTACCGAATGGATTTCTTCTTCTGATATTGGTTTCGTGAGCTCCTCTGCTTGTTGGGGCGTGATCGTTGGGAGGTTTATCGTGGACAAATATGCATTAATATGTTCCTGTGTGGGCTGATAAGTCTCATTGTTTTTATGTATGTTGTATAGGGAGGCGTAGTAGTCTGCAAACTCGTTGCAGATGTCTGTGGGGATCATTTTCTTTTCTCCCTTAGGAGACATAAGGAAGGCGATTTTTTGGTTAGCCCTCCTTTCCTGTAATCGCCTGGCTAGAAATCTGCTAGCCTTATTCCCCTGTGTGTATTGTCGCATTTTCAATCTTTGGAGCACGTACCCCGTCTGCTCTAGGGCTCTCTGGTGTATTTTTGCCATAATGGTAGATATTTGTGATTTAAGGTCATTGGATGGTGAAACCTGGTTTCTAGCGTTCAGTTGGTATAGGTCCCGTCTCCATTGGTTGAGTTGTGTTGAGGACTGTTTGTGTAGGTATGCCGCTCTTTTAATAAAAACCCCTCTAACTACCGCCTTGTGAGCTGCCCATATTGTGCCCCTGGCCATTCCCGGCGTGGTGTTCTCTGCAAAATAGTCATGTAGGGCGGATTCTACATCTTTTTTAAATGTGTTGTCATGTAACAGTGATGCATTCAGTCTCCATGGGCTACGGTGTTTGTAATCGTATTGGTCTTTGACCGACAGCGATACTGGTGCATGGTCCGACCACGTGATTTGGCCAATGTCGCTGTCGGCTATTTGGTTGAGTCCCTGCCCATGCACTAAAATCCCGTCTATCCTTGAATATGTGTTGTGAACGTGGGAGAAGTGGGTATATACTCGCTCCGTTGTGTGGGATATTCTCCATGAGTCAAAGTAGTGGTGGAGCGAAAGGAGGTTTTGTATCTTTCTGCAGTGTCTGCGGAGTGCTTTATATCTAGGACTATGTTGTGAGATGTTGGAATCTAGTTTGGGATCCCATACATGGTTGAAGTCTCCACAAATTATAGATATACCCTCTTGAACTGGAGCTAGTTTTTGTAGCAGATGTTGTAGGAACCTGCTCTGGTGTACGTTGGGTGAATAGATATTTGTGATTGTGTATGTCATGTTATTTATAGTGCATTTTAGTATAGCGTATCTCCCATTTGCATCTAGTTCAATGGAGATCAGGGTGAATGCTACTCGTTTAGATATTAGGATGGAGGTCCCCTTGGATTTAGAGGGGGATGTCGCATGGTATTGATGGGGGTAGTCGACCTCTGATGGGGGAATAAAGTTATCTGTTCTATAGTGCGTCTCCTGGAGGCATATTACATCTGCGTCAGCGTGTTTTAGTTCCCTATACAGTTGGTGTCTCTTGACCGGTAGGTTCAACCCTCTCACATTTAGGGAGTAGATTTTCATGGGGGTTTATACCCCGTTCGTTTATAGAGGGCCGATATTGAGGGCAAATACCAGGGTGGGGGTTTCGCTCGCCCCAGCAGCATCAAGTCGAGCGACTGTCCCCTGTTTGCGGGTAGTATTGGGCTACACCTTTCTCGCCGTTCGGGAGGATTCCCGGTCAAAATGGGAGGTAGTGGGTGGGGTAACCGTAACTGGGGCATTAACCATAACATGAGTAACTTATGTGCCATATGCGGCTTAGGTACTATATGGTACCTCTGGGGTTGGAAGTGTAACTTCCTCCTGGTGGGGTGCTTCCCCGACTCAGCCCTTACAGTATCTGTTACAATGTTCCTGGCGTCTTGGTATTCTGAACCCAGACTAATGTTGTTAGGTATTCCTCCAGGTATGGGTGTTGTTTGTTTTTTTTTCTTCTTGTGTGTACATAGTGTATGTGCTCTATTGTGGCCGTGTCTAACTGTGGCCTACCCACAATGTGTCAATTAGCATTATACTATACCCTTACAGTTCACCAAGGTCAGTGTATCAGGACCAGTCTCTCAATAGTCTCTCGGTACATCTTGACATCTCCTTGTATGATGTCTGCGTCCTTTAGGCCTTCTCTTTATTTTTTCTCCAGTCCGCGGAGGTGCCGTCCGTCCTCTGCGGGCTGCGTCGCTGGCTTGGATCTGATATGCCCCACCTCTGCAGCATCCGCGTTCCTTCCTCTGGTGTAGTTATGGTGGACACTTTTCCTCCTCTGGATACTAGTATTTTCACTGGGTATCCCCATCTGTATGGTAGTTTGTTGGCTCTGAGTTGTTCCGTAACGCTTTTAAAGTCTCTCCTCCTTTTGAGGGTGTAGGTCGATATGTCTGCAAACACCATCAATCCCCCGTAAGGTTCTGGGAGTTTCTTCTTTGCCCGACTCGTTTGTAGCACTACTTCTTTTACGTGGTAGTAGTGCATTTTTATTAGGACGTCTCTCTGGGTGTCTTGGGGGAGGAAGCTGGGTTTGGCTGTTCTATGGTACCTGTCCATGAGTAACTGGTCTTGTGGTATATCAGGTGCCAGCTTTTTCAGCAGGTCGTGCAGGTATGCCGCCAATTCTGCTTGCCCCACTTCCTCTTTGATTCCGCGAATCCTTAGGTTATTCCGGCGGGCTCTGTCTTCCATGTCTGCCAATTTTAAATCGTATGTTTTCACTTGGTTTTGCAGCTCTGACACCTCTTTCTCTAGCCCTCTGTGTGCTTCCTCCAACTCCGCCATTTTGTTTTCCGTCCCTGTAGTCCTCCCCTCCAGCTCCTGTATGTCTTTATGCATGGCCCTCATAGTAGTTTTAAAACTATGTTCCAACCTTGCAGACATCTCCTCCAGCATGGTTCTCAGCATCTCCTGTGTGAGGGGGGTCTCACTGTTTTGCGGCTGGCTGTATTGTATTGCCGATTCCTCGGCGCCATCTTGGATATCCTCCACCTGGGCCTGTTTCCCCTGCGGTGTCCGCAGGGCGAAAAATGCAGTTTTTTCAGCCCTGTCTGCCTGCCTCTTTCCCTTGGATTGTGCCATGTCGGCTCTGTGTGTCTGTATTCTGGGGATTTTCCGTCGGCTTGTCTGCCAAATTACTCCTTCGGGCTTTGTCGGAACGGAGCGCTCAGTGCATGCGACCGTTCAGCACCGCCGCCAGGCCACGCCCCCCAGCTTGTATGTTTTCCATCAAATTGGGCTTCATTTTCTTTCCTACCTTTAGATTAATGAAAATGTTGCCAGTATTGAAGTAGTTCCTGTCCTACAAACTTTTACTGGGTTTATTTAACATATTCCGAGGAGAAGGGTTTTCAGCTATGTTCAAATGTTATATGAGCAACTTTTTTTAATAAGATGGATATAAATATTATTGAGCTGCGTTCCTAAGTAGGAAACATATTTAGGACAAATTTGAAATGAGAAATCTTACAGTTGTCTTAAAGGGACACTAAAGTTCTCAGAACAACTACAGCTTAATGAAGTTGTTCTGGTGAGTATAATCAGTACATGCAGGCATTTTCATGCAAACACTGCCTTTTCAGAGAAAAGACAGTGTTTACATTGCCCCTAGGGACACACCAAATGCCCACTCCTCAGATGGCTGGTAGAGGTGCTTTCTGGCTCAGTGCTGCACAGTAGGCAGTTCTGCCATTCAGCATTCCCATGCTTGGCATGGGGAAGCTGAATTTTTCTCATAGAGATGCACATATGTTTTTGAAGCTGTAAAGCTAT